CCCCAAAACCCCAAAACCCCAAAACCCCAAAACCCCTTGACTGCTTTCCAACATTGAAAGTTTTCCTTTATCAAAACCCAGTTATCTCCTCATTCCATAAGCTTTGTACAGGATTGGTAGCAGCAAAAAGGCGATTACCATGAGAATTCCTGCATAATCCGTAGCTGAGAACTTGTAACCAAAAATGATGTAATCTGAGAGCAGAAGCCAGATACCAGAGGAGTATGTCAAGAATGAGATTTTGCCTATAAGATTCATTAAAATAGCACTTACTCGCCTCTTGGTACTTGTAAGCAATACTAACAAGGTTCTGATGAATGAAGTGCACCACTCCGCTGATGAAGAAATATCCCATATCGAGCCATGTGTAATGCTCAAAGTTGTAGATTGAAGGGTAAACACCCAGCAAGATTAATGAGAAGGCAAATAACGTGAAAGCAAACCAAGCTGGATTAAAGAGATAATGCAAGTGCTTATTCATCATCCTGATCGTCAAGGTCACACCTACTCCAAGAAACATGGTAATGGAGCACAGAATTATACCAAGAATTCTTAAGAAATCTGTAGTCTCAATCTTTGTAGAATCTGTCTTGTTAATATTCATAATAACAACACCAAAGAAGGCGCCGATGACGCCAAGGACATCATATCTGTTGATTGATTCCTTTAAGTACCAATAAGCTCAAAGAGTGACAAACAAAGGATACATGTTGCTGATTAAAGTTGCCTTGCTTGATGGGAGGAACTTTAGGGATGAATAGAACATTGGGAAAAATAGTAACCCGAAGAAACATCTCAGAAATAGCAAGAATCTTCCCTCTTTCTTAATTTTCAGCAGATTTACTTGCTGCGAAAATGCCTGTATCAGAGCACAAAGTGTCAGGATAGTGCTTCTAACAATCAGATAGTCAAATCCTGTCAAGTTAGGGTTGTTCATGTAAGCTAGCTTACAGAAAACTGTGGACAAACAGACCAGGATTACTCCAAGAAGCATCATAATAGTTCCAAAGAAAGCATTAAAATAAGATCCTTGGTCCTCGTCAGGTTTATTTTTGTTGGAAGATTCCATTTCTAAACTTTGGCAAGATTCACTATCAATGGCAGGCTGAGATTTCTTACTCTTTGGGGTACTCCCACTTGATCTACCACTAACAAGATTTTTTTCCGATTCTAAATGGTTATACTCAGGATCATGAAAAATTTAATGCAATTTTACCATGAACTTAAATAAAGATCTTTGGGAAATATCAAATTAGAGGCATGAAAAGACCCTAGATCAGTTGAAAATAATACCAGAATCTGAGTTTTTGGGTGAAAACTAGGGATAGCAATATTGTAAGATACATTTGGTTTGTAATTACCTTCTCTATCGCTATTGACGAGGAGATGTGCTCCACCATCAAAAGAGCGACTGCTATGACTAGACATATTAAAAATAATAATTTAGAGGATTCCACTGACTAAACTATAAATGGGGTTTTGGGGTTTTGGGGTTTTGGGG